ATCTACACCTGTCCTTTCTGTGCAGGAGGCTGCAGTCTTGTAAGGGTGTGAGGGATTGGAGGGGGGCAATCAAGGAAAAAGGTATGACTTCAAGATGCAGTAACACAGTGATTTCTGTTGGATGAAGCTTGGACATGGTTGCATTTCAGGGAAGGAAGCTCATTGCAGCAAGAATCTGTCTAGTGGGGGCGCCTGGGTGGCTTAGTTGTTAAGCGTCTGCCTTCGGCTCAGGTCATGATCCTGGGGTCCTGGAATCGAACCCCGTGTCGGGCTCCCTGCTTAGTGGAAAGCCTGCTTCTCCCTCCTCTACTCCCCCTGCTTGTGTTCCCTCTCTCGCTGTCTCTCTCTCTGTCAAATAAATAAATAAAATCTTTAAAAAAAAAAAAAAAAGAATCTGTCTAGCGGCTGTGGCAGTTCAGGGTCACTACTCAGAGGGGAGGGGGCAAGGGAACTCCCTGGGAGAGCAAGTAGTCTGGAAGGGAGCTTATGTGTCTGGTGAGGTGCTAAGCAGCATGGCATGGTGGGGAGTCTGAACTCTGAAGGGCCTTAGCAGCTTGGCACCTTCTAGCTGCAAAGCCCAATCTTATCAACAGGTAACAGCTGTTGGGTGAGGTGGGGTATGCAAAGCAGGCAAGCTCCAAATGGCTGAAAACTTGCTTGTTCGACTATTTTTAAAATAATTGGTTATGTACATATTTGCGTTTGGCACCTGCAGGCTTCTGAGCAGACCCCTTTTGAGCTAAGGGGTCTCAGCCTGCAGTGAAGAAAGACACAACCTAGAGGCCAATACCCGGAGCCCATCTTTGGCTGATTTCTAGAACAAGCGCCCTTCAGGACTTTCAGTGGCTGTGGCTGGCGGGTCCACCTCCTCCCTTGCCAGAGGAGCTGTGTAGGAGCAGACCCTGTGAGTAGGGCCCACAAGCTAGGATTTTTGATTCTAATGTTTCAGCCGGTATTGAAAATCACAGCCCTATGTCCATGGTCCCCGACCTTGCTGAATATCCAGCTATTTGGGGCAGAGGCATGAGGTGACAGTGACAACTTTCTGGACCTATTAAAACCCGGACCCTGCTCCCAGAAGTTCTAATTTCATTTTGAGATCAGGTAGGTCATTGGTGGTGTTTTGACTGGGGGAGGGGGCAGCGTAAGGTGCAGGCATGGCTGAGAGCCGCCGTGCAGGGCCTGGAGGGAGGACAAGATTTTATCAGGAGGGTCGCGATGCCCAGAAGTCCAGGGACCGAGAGCCGCCAGTTACTGACTACCTGTAGGTTACACGTGCTGGGCGTCGCGCTGCTCGCAGGAGCTCACGTCATTTCATACACGACAGCATCCACACCTTCTCCTCTCCCTTCTCCATATCACTTAGGCTTTGCCAAGGGTTCCCCGTGACTGGCAGCCACACGGCCCAGAGCTGGGGTCCTCTGCAGTGGTCATGTCTGCAGAGCCCCTGCTACCACTGTTTGGTGGCTCTTTCCAAGGCATTTGAAGGAGCTTGTCCTTTGCCTGGAGATACCTCCAGGTTGCTCAGAGGAGTGGTCACCTCGCTCAGCTTCTTAGGGCGGTGGTTGGGAGGTGTCTCTGCCCAACGGCTCTGTTCCAAGTGCAAAGTGCCACTGGGGGAGCCTGAGGATGTGGGAAGGGCCACAGACTCAGCCCTCAACCCCAGGGACAGAGAGCTCCCCTGGGCAGCGGGAGGGTGCCTCCCAGGTTCCAGGAGGGGTTGGGAGCCCTTGCCAGGGCTATGCACTGACGTGGCCCGGAGAGCTCCCCCGCTCGCAGGCTTCAGGGTCAGGTGAGCTGAGTGCATCACTTCTTCTCAATGCAATAGCTGGCCGTTGCTGGCCGTGTGGTCCTGGGCAAGCTGTTGTACTTTCTGCACATCACTTTCCTTACTCCTTCCAAGTGCCCTCTGATGAGGATCATGACGACCATCATCACGATAATAGGCAGCATGCACTGCACATTGCCATGCCAGGCACTCTGCCAAATGCCTTCACTTAACATATCATTACATAGACGGAGCAAATTTAGGTGGCAGGGACTGCTATCGCCTCTGTTTTACAGATGAGTAAACTGAGGCATAGGGAGGCTAATCCACTTGCCCAAGGCCACACAGAGAACAAGAGGCGGAGCTGGGTTCAACCCCACAGGCTAACCCACCCATCACACCTGAGCAGGTGGGCTTCCTCACCCTCACCCTTCATTTGTTCTCCTTTTGGTACAGGTGTTTCTCACGCTGCCCTCTGCAAGGCCGCCTCCTGGTTCTGGTCCAATCCTTCTGTAGGGGTCCAGAGCCGCAGGAGTCATTCGAGCAGAGAGCACTGAATATGAAGGATTCTCACTAGATACAAAGTTGTTTGTTGCATGACTGAAAGGGTCAGAGGACTCCAGGGTGTCCCAGAGGAAGTGACTGGAAGAAACCAGACGTCACACCACTCCTAGGGCTGGAGTAATGGAATTAGTAAGACTCCAATCTTGGAGCTGGAACTCGGCTTGCTGGGGAGGGGCACGGGCTGCAGTGGGGTCTCTGCCCAGCTGGCAGGGCAGGTAGAATGGGACGAAAAACCCGCAGACAAACTCAGCTCCTGCTCCAGGAAGGAACTGCCTCTGCCAGGGTGAAGACACGATGCTGGGGAGACCCTCCCAGGAGCAGGAGGCAAACGGGAAGGAGCACCCCTGGCTCCCTCTTCCAGCCTCACCGTCTCCGCAGCGTCCCCTACTGGCAGAGTCTGATGGGAGCCACTGTCCACGCCTGCGTGTGGCGGGCTGGGTACCCGCTTCAGCATGGTAGAGCTGAGACAGGACGGTGGGTTTGGAGCTGAAGGACAATTACTTACTAAGTGGCCCATCATCCCTTGTGTCTCATATCTCGGGACATGCCCCAGACCCAGGTGGACTCTGCTTGGCTGCAGTGCCCTGCAGTGAGCCCTGCAATGCCTCAGTTTCCACACAGCCCTTGTTACATTTCCATGGGATGCCGGTAGCCGAGAGCCAAGGCCTCTCTCCAAACCGAACTGAGGAGTGTCCGTGCTATGTCCTCATGCAGGGGCTGAGACTCCTGGGTGGCCCGGAGCCCGAGTTCGGCTGTGAGTCCCTGCAGTGAGTGAGCCCCTTCCCAGAGACGGTCAGTCTGGGTGGGGAGGGAGGGAGGGAAGCGGAGGCAGTGCTTTTCGCCCTTCCCTCCTCAGCCTGTCCAGCCCCTTTCTGTCACATGTGTTCGCCCAAGCGTGGCACTGACACCTCCAGTGGAGTCTGACCTTTACAGAAAGGAATAATTTGATTTCCCAGGAAGGTAGAGAACATAAGGTAGACTTTAGCGATATCAAAGCCGCATAACAATTAAATATCTGCCTAAGAGTTCTCCCTGGGTTTCCATATTCCAAAAGGCTCACAGTAAAATTAACTCCAAAGTTACTGAACTGAGAAATGTACAATTACTGTCTTGTTGATGTAATAAAATAGAAAGGACTGTTTAGACATTTAATTGGCATCCAACAACAGGCGACGGTATGTTAATTAGACATCAATTACCGCAAAGTACTAATTGACATTTGGTAAACATTCTAACTGATAACCAATGTTTGCTCTGCCAAATTAAATGGTTTGGTGGGCTGCATTTGGCCGCTGAGAAGGGGTTTATAAAAGGACTGCAAGTGCCTGGCAGCCTCCAGGAGGCAGGGGCTGTCCTTAGAACATTCTGCCCCTCCTCGCAAAACACTTGGCAAGAGTCAAGTGATTCTTTTCCGGGTTTGGGTCTTCCTTGAATGTTGCCTCAGACCCAAATTTGAGCCCAATTTCTGTAGGCTCTAGAGTCAGACCTATTTGAATGCTAAGCCTAGCTCTACTTTGAGGCTGTGGGCCCTGAACAATTCTCTGGGCTTGAGTTTCCTTCTCGGTGCAACTGAGACATATCTTCAGCGTTGGGACTATGGGGAAGAAAGTTCTGGCCACAATTCCTAGCACAGAGCAGAAGCTCAGTACCTTACCATTCCTCTTCTTCTCTCTCCTCTCTCTCCCTTCTGATCTCCTATTCCTACTCCTGGGCCATGGCTTTGTTCCACACTGTTAGACTGTGGCCCAGGCACCATCTTTCCCAAGGGTCCATCTGAGCTGAGATCAAGCTTTGACGACTACCAGAGAAACAGTGTCTTGGCCTCTGGATTTAAATGCAGGTTCCACGGGTGCCTGGGTGGCTCAGTCGTTAGCATCTGCCTTCCGCTCAGGTCATGATCCCAGGGTCCTGGGTTGAGCCCCGCATCGGGCTCGCTGCTCCGCGGGAAGCCTGCTTCTCCCTCTCCCACTCCCCCTGCTTGTGTTCCCTCTCTCACTGTGTCTCTCTCTGTCAAATAAATAAATAACATCTTTTTTAAAAAAGAGTTAGTGAGTCCTAGTTCTCTTAGAGTATAAGAAAAATGTGACTCTTTCTTTGCTACCAGTTGGCATTTTGTTCTGAAATATCACTTGGGAACTTAGATTGCCAATGGAACTAGGTCAGTTCGATGAAACCTAATTTATTGAATGGCTAATTGCCAAAGCCAATTCACCAAAAGTTAATTTGCTGAAAATAAATTTGCTGAATCATTAAATAACTTAGTGACCAATTCACTGAATAGTGTCCAACCCTCAACCGTATTTTAGATGACTGGCTACGGACACTGCCATCAGAGCAAGAGGCACATGGAAAGAAGACTCCGAAGCAAAGTAAGGGTTAGGGAAAGATACTTAAAAATAAAGAAGATAGGAACTGAATTTAAAAGAAAGTCCAACTGTTCATAGTTAGATGCTGTTCATGTTAAGCAGTGCTCTGCCTTTGAGCTGTGAAACACAGAAGGATTTCAAATTCAGTTGACCTGAGCACTCTGCTCTATAGTTAAATAGCTGCAAGAAACCTATGATGAAACTAAAGCGAAAATTAATTCTCAATAAGTTGGTGGTTCAATCATTTACGAATTGACTTTGGCAAACTGACTTTCAGTGAATTAGTCCATTTTCTTCCCCAGTACAGCTTAGCCCTCGGGTATGCTGAGAATGAAGAGAGAAAGGACAACTAGGAGAGGCTGGCCGTCTGTCCACAGAGAATGACAGGTAGGAGGCTTTCGGTCTCAGGTAAGGCTGGGCAGGGAATCCTGAGAGTGGCATCAGGGCTCAACAGCCTGACTGATGATTAAGTCAATAGGAGTTCTCTGTTCCTGGGGGCATGCTTAGAGGGATGCCAGACCCAGATACTGCCAAGACTGGGACATGTAAAAACTTAGAGGAGGTGACCTGAGCCCAAGAAAATAGGCAGGGCTCTGGGGAAGGACCCTCTTCAGTCCCAGAGTGCCTATTAGAAGCAAAACAGAATTGGCAGGGACCTGGGGACAGCGCTGGCACACCAGACTGAGCTAGGGGCCCCAGGCTCCCTGACTGTGGGCTTGTTTATTGAGGGGAAAAAAACTGTTGCGTGCATCTATGGCAAAAAAAATATTACCTGAATATATTGCGCATTCACTATGTCCCAGAACCATGCTAAGTATTTGCGTGCATTGTCTCCCTTAGTCATGGCAATAACTCTTTAAAGGAGTTGTGGTTTTTATTTCCATTTTACAAAGAACTGAGGCTCATAGATATGAAGAAGTTTGCACAAATTTACAAAGCTAACAAGAGTCAGAAATTGTTATCACATCTAGCTCTGTCTGGTCCTAGATCTATGCTCTGGACTCAAACCTCATCTGGCCTTCTCACCATGAATCAAACATTGAACTGGGTTCTAGGAACAGACCAAGCACACCTGTTTTCTGCTTCATAGAGCTTATGTGCCGTCACATGTCACCAGACCTCATCCTATGCCAGTGGGTCCTTCCAGGCATTTGTAGGCCTTGGACAGAAGGGACTGAGCCCTGAGAAGGACTGAGTATGCAGTGAGCAGGTATCAGCAGCAGGCAGAGCTGTCTCCCACATCTTACCTATTCAGCCTCATACTTGCCCTACAGGCTGACGACTTCTTTTCCAGCAAGCATTCTCCAAGTGCTTGCTGAGTACTGCTAGACAGAGTTAGGATGGGCTGGGAAATACCTGGGAAAAGAGCTACAATGAGCTAAAAGACTGGCTAAAAGTGAAGGGTGGATAGTGGAAACAGAAAATTTTAATCACTAAATATGGCCTCATACCAAGTTGTAGAAATGAGGATTGCAGTGTCCATAATATTCATCTTTATGTTTATATGTGTATATTTTTATCTACTGATCAATTTTCCCTCTCTTCTCTCCATACTAGTTGGTGTTATATGTGTTATTTGGAGTTAGTCCTGTAATATAGTTTAGGTTACCCAGGAGAGCAAAAGGGAATTGTGACTAAATGATATGAATAAATATCATCCAAATATGGATTTAGTAACTTATGGGTTTTGGGTCATCCCTTTTTGGGAAGAGGGCTAGCATACCCTTATTTGTACTAGTTGCACTATGTTAGAAGGAAGCATGGTATTTTTTGGAAGTACAAATACAGGCACTTTCTCTTTGCAGTATCATAGATATAATGATATATTTTAGCTAATTATATTCTTCCTTCATCTTCCTTTTTCGGTAATTTTATGTACGGTGTATTATGATATTGAACTCTACCATTTAGTCCATGATTTACAGAATGTCAATACATGATTATCACAGAACTAGAGGAGGAATGGCCATTTTTCGGTAAGCCTAGAAAAGGGGTTGGGTGAAGTATCTAATAAGGCTTTGTATTGTCTCTGTTTTAGGGAAGATCATGAGTACATCTTTCTGGGACAGATAGTTTCATTATTCTTGGTGGGATCATTATTGTTGTGATTTGGAAGATTAAGGGAGAAAGTCGTATGTTGATGTTGGATAATTAAGGAGTGGACTACAATTGACATTTCTCATTCTCTCTGGCTACCCAGGAGCATTGAACTTATTTTCTATCTTTGAGGAATTTCCCACTTTATGCATCTTAGTGGGAGGCAGAGACCATCTCTCATATTGAAATTTCCTTGCCTCACTTGTAGCTGAGACTCACTCATTTGACTCTGGCTTTGCCACTTAGTTATACTTTTTCAGACTTTGAGTCAGAAGCTAATGACATAGAAAGACGTACTGAAAGTCTGGCATGGTTTGAAGGAGCTACACAAAGTTTGCAGAAGCATTTTCTAGTTGTGACCTATAGTGCCTAGTATCCATGGGCTTGATGATGCAAGCTGTAATGTTTTTTCCTAGCAATGGTGACTCTATTGCTCCAGTTCCGTGAAGTAATTTGACTCTGACTAAATGCCAAGCCTGACTCTCTGACTCTCTAAGAGATTTCATATCTTTTAATAAATTTCTTTTCTGTTTAAACTAACCCAAGTTTGTTGTGTACATTTAAGAATTCTGACTGCTACAGGGGGAAATAAAAGCCAGAACAAAACAGTCTAGTGATCTTTATATAATTATCTTGTATCTAGCCACCATATCCCATTCACTTATTCTTCATAATAGTATTTTAAAAATAAAGTTATTTGTTTATCAAGGGATACTGTTATTTTCTATATAAATTTAGATAATTTGTGGGCTTTTTACAAGTAATACATTTAGTGAAAGTACAGATGGTAGAATTAGCCCAGTTACCCTTCCTGAGTTCTGCTGAACTGGCTGCAAATCCTAGGCTCTGATACACCTTTGCTCAAGGTTGTCCTATGAGTAGAGTAGGGATGCTGTGGGCTAGGAAGAAGCAAGTTCTTGCCCAGATATAGTCAGTACTAAAACTCCCCTGTAGATGCTATGTAGACTTAGCTTGGTTGTGGCCAAGGATATTAGGACTGTGATTTGGGTCTTAAATAGTAGAGAGTGGTTACCTACCCAAGTCAGCTAAAAGTTGAAGGAACCAAATTTTTAGATATAATAAAAGGCAAATCAAAAAACCAGACAGTGTTGAAATGATAAAAGTTAGGTAAAAGCAGAGATAAAGCCAAGAAAGTGAACCAGAGTTAAGAACCAGGAAGGACTGGGATGGATCAGGAATAAGGTTAGGATCAAAACAAGGGTAGTAGTAGGGGATAGGCAATGATGGATCTGGAATTTCTCTGGATCACTTCTATTAGTAGAATGAATAGTGTATGAATTATTTGGTCAAATCATAGGCATCCAGAGTGTACTAAGCTGAACCCTCACTCCCTCTGTAGGTCTAGACTTCTGCTTTGACTCTCCACTCTGCAGTTACCTTGGTGACCTGCATGTAGCAGGACTATGCTTCTGAATGGGATGAAGTGTTTTATTGCCCTGAACTAAGCCTGTCCTCAGAGGCAGATTGGGCTATTATCTAATCATTACCAGAATTAGAGCATTAGGTTGATATTCTAAACCTCAAGTCATTTTTTAAAGATTTATTTACTTATTTTAGAGAGAGAGAGTGCACAAGTGGGAGGGGCAGAGGGAGAGGGAGAGAGAATCTCAAACAGACTCTGTGCTGAGCCCGGAGCCCAATGCTGGGCTGCATCTCATGACCGTGAGATCATGACCTGAGCCAAAACCAAGAGTTGGACACTTAACCAACTGTGCCACCCAGGTGCCCTCCAAGTCATTTTTAAATAAACGTCTGCCAACATATAAAAGTTTACAGTAACTTTAAAACAAGATTTAGACATTAAAGCAAAGAATGCATGAATGTGTGTGTGTGTTTGTGTACATGTGTGGTGTATATGAGTATGCATACACACAAACACATATGAAGAAATATATGCACATGTTAATTCAAACACTATGAATTATTAAAGCCTCCCTCTATCCTCTGTTCTATTCCTTAAGAGAAACTGCTACTAACACTTTCTTGGGTATACTTACAAAAAAGTTTATATCATTGTAAGTATATTAATATATGTAAATATATACACATACCTGTATCCTTTCATTTTTTTAATACATATGAGATAATACACTGTTCTTCCTTTTCCTCTTCTCATTTAAAAATATGAATTGGAGTTCTCCCTATGTAAGTACATATAAATACCTCATGCTTTTTAAAAAACTGGGTATTTCATTGTGTGGATCTACTGAACCATAATTTATTTAAACGTATATGAGGGTTCCACTTGCTATACTTGACAATGCTTGGTATTGCTAATCTTTTTAAGTTAGCCATTCTGGTGGGTGTGAAACCATATTTCATGTGGTTTTAATGCATAATTTCTTGATCACTAATGAAGTTGAGGAGATTTTCATATGTTTATTGGACAGTTGTCTACACTTTTTAATGAAGTACCTTTTCTATTGCATTGTCTTATTCCTATTTACTTGTTACAGATCTTTATATATTCTGGATTAAAGTCTTTTGTTACATATATGTATATTGCAGAAGTTCTGTCATTCTAAGGTCTGTTTTTGATTTTCTTTTGTTTTTGTTTTTGATTCTCTTAATAGTATCTTTTGGAGAATGAGCTCTCAATTTTAATCAGATCCAGTTTAGCAATTACTTCCTTTAAAATTAGTGGTTGGATCCTTTTGGGTCCTACTTAAGAAGTCTTTTTTTATTCCAAGATAATGATGAAATTTCCCCATATTATCATCTAGAAGCTTTATTGTTTTATGTTTTTATTTAAATGTATAATCCAAATGTGTTTACTCTTTGTGGATAGTGTAAAGTAGAGGTCAAGATTTGATTTTTTTTTTCCAATTTACCCAGCTCCACACTGATTAAAACAGCATCATTTTCCCCCCTGGCATAGAATGTTACCTTTGTTAGAAACCAGCAGTCACATTGTATGGGCCTATTTCTGGACTCCATGTTCTGTTCTATTGGTTTAATTACTGCCTTAATTATTTTGGCTTTCTAAGTTTTTATATTTATTATCCTACCTGGTTCTATTTCAAGAGGTTCTTCCCTTTCCTTGGACATTTGCATTTCCATTTAAAATTAAAAATCAGCTTAACAACTTCCAAACTGAATTGGAAAATCCTGCTGGAATTTTGATAGGAGTTGCATTGAATCTCTAGACCAATTTGAAGAGAAATTAATATCTGTATAAGACTGTCTTCTGGTCCATATATACAGTGTGTCCTTCCATTTATTTAGGTCATCTTTCATTTCTCACAATATTTGGTAGTTTTCTGCATAGA